GGCTCTACACAGGTTGTTTTACTAACCTTCACAATAACCCTGGCAACGCCAACATTGTTATTCACATGGTACAATGAGAAAACTAAAAGGCATAGAAAGTTAATTAATTGTCTGAAATATGGGTCAGGTCCAGAATTCAAATCTAGTTCAGCATACTCCAAATCCAAAGCTCTCTTCTTGACTTTTTTAAAGATGATGAATCCACAAAATGAACTTACGAGGCTAATTTATATTCTTGAAATGTTAAAAAAAAAAAAAGTAAGATAACTTATCATTTAAGGTCACCCACAATCTAAGTCAGGGGCATCCATGCTATTTGTTCCTTGGTGATCATGACCCCATTTGAAACACTAGTTAACAAATAGAGCTGGGGAAACAGACACTGAGGAAAGTGAGGCCTATGTTCAAGCATTTGAAGAACTTGAATATCCTGTGTGTGCAGGAGATTCACACTAAGAACTAGATATTCTGTGTGTGTACAGGCAAACTTGGATGCCTCTATTCCACCCATGGAACAGATTGCATCGCAAAATGGGGAAGTGGTTTCCCCACCATCAGAGACTTTCCACTCAAGATCAGGAGCAACACCATAGGAAGTGGGTTCCAAGAAATCAGACAGGTATTCTATAAAATGATTAAGGTCAGCATTACTGGGAGTGGAGAGCGAATCAAAATCATTATAGACTGCATCCAAGGGAATACTTGGGAAAACTTTTGTTCATTTTAAAGGATACAAAAAAGAGAAAATAAAGAATCATGAATCAATAATGAAAGTGATTGCTGGGGATGTGGGAGAAATGACAGAAGGATGGAAGATTCAAGGAGACAGTCATGCAAATAGTCATGGAAAGCACATCTTTACTAACCCTGAAAGAAAGCACAGGGCTAAACACTTCTCTATGGCATCAAATGTGTATTGTAAAGGCTCACGTCATTGATTAAATGAGTAGATTTTTTAACAAACGTTTGAAAACCTAAATGATAATGTCCCTCTGAGTTGTGGTATTTGAGAATAAGAAAAAGAAACATATTAACCTATTAAGTTGCATGTGAGGAAAGCTCCCCTGGAAAGGCCAGGATAAACAGCTACTAGGTTGTTCGTCAAAACTACAGTGGATTTTGTGGAAGATGGTCATTGACTCTTTTGGATTCCTATGTAGGAAAGATTCCAGTTTGGTGTAAGGCACCTCAAAAGAACCAAAAGCTGATGAGCTTAAAGGTGAGCACAGACCAGAAGAAAATGGTCGGGGGGTGGAAATTGGGCTATTAGGAGCTCTGCTATGGTTCCCTCATATCAGGCCTTCTGCAGGTTAAGTGTTAGGCCCATATTAGAAAATGTGAAAAGGAAATACTTACTTTAGCCTGTAGTCATGGTGGTTTCCTACAAGATCTACCAATTCCACTAAAAGTAATCACAGAGAAATCTGGAGACTCAATGATATAGCTCAGATGTTCATCCCCTCCAACTCTTATGTTGAAATACGACCGCCGACATTGGAGGTGGGGCCTGGTGAGAGGTGTTTGGGTCATGGGGGCAGATTCTTCACACACGGCTTGGTGCCCTCTCCATGGTAATGAGTGAGTTCTCGCTCTGTTAGTTCATGTGAGAGTTAATTGTTAAAAAGAGTCTGGGATGTACCCCCTCTCTCTCTTGCTCCCTCTCTAGCACTGTGACACTGCCTGATTCCCCTTCGCCTTCTGCTGTGAGTGAAAGCTTCTTGAAGCTCTCCCCAGAGACAGATGCTGGTGCCATGCTTCTTATACAAACTACAGAATCACAAGCCAAATAAACCTCTTTTCTTTATAAATGCCCAACCTCGGGTATTCGTTTTTAGCAACATCAAATGGGCTACTACACTTAATTATTGGCAAAAAGAAAGAAATACTTAAATCTCAGTACACACTCACAGCTCATCATATAATATCTTTGATTTCATTTTTTTGGGAAGAAAAAGGAGAATCACAATTTGGAAAAACTCAAAACCAATTGGAGAAAACTGACTACAAACTGGAAAAAAAAAGTCTTACAAAGTGTTTTATCAATGAAATGCTACAGAACGCAATGAAGAGGGTGGAGAGATATTCAACAAGAATCAACAGTGGCCACAACATGCATGAAGTTAGGAGCGTTGAAAGGCAACCATCCCATTTCCTGCTTGACAATGTTTAACTAACTCCATGCACAGTATTATCTTTAAAAGTAGAAAGCAGGCATGCGCTCCACCAGTAGGTGAGAAAGTTGAGTGACCACAGAAAGGTCACTTAACCTCTGTACATCAATTTACTCATCCATAAAATGAGAAATTGTTAAAAGAATAACCAATGATCTTTATGATTTAAGTCCTTTAATGAAGATTACTTTGGGAAGATTACTTCTGGAACCACGTGTGACACTCAGTTTTAGAGATTCTAAACAATAAGGAAAAAAAGTATATAGTCTAAAGCACCCAAGTATTTTCAATGTGACTGCTTACTTGAAAAAAAAAAAATGACTTTAGTAGCTGTAGCAAAGATTGTCAGCATGGAACACTATGCAGCCATAAAAAAGGATGAGTTCATGTCCTTTGCAGGGACATGGATGAGGCTGGAAACCATCATTCTCAGCAAACTGTCACAAGAACAGAAAACCAAACACTGCATATTCTTACTCATAAGTGGGAGTTGAACAATGAGAACACATGGACAAGGGAGGGGAACATCACACACCAGGGCCTGTCGGGGGATGGAGGGCCAGGGGAGGGATACCATTAGGAGAAATACCTAATGTAGGTGACGGGTTGATGGGTGCAGCAAACCACGATGGCACATGTATACCTATGTAACAAACCTGCACGTTCTGCACATGTACCCCAGAACTTAGAGTCTAATCATAAAAAAAAAAGAATAAATGACTCATCTCAACGAAACTCTCTTGAAGCTGCTAAGTTCTCCAATTTTAGTTCAATTGGAATTCCGCTATCTCTGAATAAGTGGTGCTGGTGGTGAAGGAAAGAAGTATGAAGATGTCTGTTAACTGTGGAGATGGCCCAAAACAACATAAAGCTATCCCTATCATAGTTGGACTTCAAAGGTTTTTGCTTTAGTTTTTTTTTTTTTTTTTTTTTGGCTTTTGGCTTTTGGTATTTTTTTTCCTGTGTACAATTTCTATATAGATAATAAATCTTAGATAACTGTTGATGAACAGTTTTGTAATAATTTGGATAAAAGAATGAGGTAATTCTACAGTGAGGAGAGTCAACAGAGGAAATATATTCTAATGGACCTGTTTCTAGCCTGACCTGAATTTTTATTCTGATGTTACTTACTCAATATAGAACCTTGGACAAATTATTCCTCTTTTTTGGTCTCTATTTCCTTATTCTTAAAATGAGATTAGCCAGATGATTGCTAAGGTCTCTTTCTACTCTAAAATTCTATGACTCTAAATATAGAGCTCACCAACATCATATTACTTAAACAAAACAAAGTAGGAAGCATTTTCTGTTATCTTCCAAAGTAACTCCAGAGTAGTTAACTAAAGTGAAAAGAGCATTGGTTATCCTGCTTTCCCTAGGCCATTGGCTAGATTCCCTCAGTCCCCAGAAGAACTAAACCTGACTCATTATCTTGTGCCATAAAGCACTTCTCTGTAACTGGATAAAGGCAATAATATTTAAAGCAAACATTTTTTCGAGTGCTAAGCACTTATATGTATCAACTTATTATCACAACCACCCTATTACATTGGTATTATTGTCAACATGTAAACAGAGGAACAAAAAAAAGTAACATGGTTAAGGTTATACAGCTATCAAAGGGAATGGCCATGATTTGAACTCAGCAAGTTTGGGTTCAGCCTCTTACTAATGGATGAATCACCTTTCAGTTCTGTGGTCCCAGTGTAGTGGGGGAGGAAGGGTGCTAGTTCTGGTGCTAGTGATGGCTATGATAGCTCTTCTTTTTTATTCTCTATGAAAAGAAAGCACGTGGCTGGGCAGGGTGGGAAAACCCGATGTGAATGAAAATCTTCTAAGTAAGCCTTGACACTGACAGCTCTGTGAGTTTATCATTCTAACTGAGCCCTGTAATCGCACAGCATCTCACGTCCACTTCCTCGAAAACTGTGAGTAAGACTTAATCCTGCTTCTGAAGCAGAATCAGGCCTAAATGTGTGGCTCACTAATTTTCTTCTTTGTTAGAGAGCCCCCTGTTGCATAATTTGTGTAATGAAAGTATGTATAGTTTTGCTAACCAATTCTCCTGGAGCCACTAAAATGTGTGAGTGTTTTTAGAAATTATATGGGCAATATGCATAAAATACCAACCTCTGATTTTCTTTTTGGAGTATTCAATCTAAGGGAGCCATTTTCTAAGTATGTATCTAGAAGAGCAACTTCACACAGCATTAAGTCGCTAAGTTCTCGGGTTTTTCGTTCTCATGTATAACTGCTGTTAGCTTATTGAGAGCGCCTGGGCAAAGAGCTTAAACTTTTTGTTTCTTAAGATCATTTCCAAAATGAATACAGCAGACTCTCATGATAAAGACTTAGATGCAAAGATTTAGATATGGAATCACCACATACAATACTTGAAATGGAAAGAACTTTAAGAATTATTCAGGCTTATGCCCTCATTTTAAAGATTATGAAATTGAAGACTGAGAAAGGTGCAATATGCTTTAGGTCACACAGTTCTTGGTAGCTTAAGCAGAAATACAGCTTAGGCTCCTGATTCTAGCATCAGTGGTTTCTCTGGTGTAAGGTTTAATTTTTCTATTAAAGACTACATTTTAGGCTTCTAAAAAAAGTTCTAACAAAAACTAGTATGTACAAAATGACAGTTTATAGAAGCTTCCCATTCAAGCCTCACAACCACTCAGTATGACAGTTACTTATTATTATCAACATTCACTATATGCCTAATTTATAGCTGCATAAGCAGAAGCTCAGGCTGCTGAGGAAGTGGCCCAAGGTTGCATTAGCATTCTAGTTCTGATCTTTGAAATTTGAAATTCATTTTCTTCTTCGGACCTTTACTTCACCCTGCCCTCTTTAAATTTGTTTCAGGTAAGATCAAATGAATTATAAAATCTTCAAAAAAGTGACTATTAATGCTTTCCCCAAAATGTCCCCAATTAGTTAAGCATTTCTTCACTGGCCACTTCCCCAGATCCTGTTCATCTGACATCTATTTTCAAATAAAACAGGATTCTTTAGAACAGTAGGAATTTCTCACACTGGTTTATTGCATAGGATAAGAGAGTCATAACTATTTTTGTAACCATAGAAGTATCATCAAAATACAGAATTATTTGTAATGCTAATGAGAATTTTCTTCACCAGGTAGTGCTGTTTGCAAAACATCTGGTGTACCATGCCAAAAATACATAGCAGCTGAAAGGCAGGATGCAAACTTTGCCTCAGGATCTTCTCCACCAGGTAATTTCAAGACAGGCGTTGCCTTTAATATATGTTTTAGATGTTGCAGCATCTGATAGTCACATAACTAATTTCTTTAATTAGTTCACCCCCTTGTGCATCTTGCCTTCAAGGATTCAATTAAACACAAAACTTGCAACTTGGTGCTAGGGTATTCATTAACCTGCAAGTTATCTTTTAAAACAACTATAGTCTAGGGAAAACTTCACGAAGATATGAATTTGCCTTTGTCCTGAATATATATAATTGGAATCACATGCCAAAGGAAGAGAGTCTGTAAACAACAATGTTTATTCTTAGCAACAATTCGCCTTACACACACAGAGAGACATACACACAAAAACACACACATATATCTTTACATCTTACCAATTTCTTTATTTACCAATATAAAACTTTGCAATAGACCATGTTTTTTTTATCCCTTCACCAGTCTTCTTGCCTCAGCACTGTATAATTTTATGCATATACAATATACATATATATGCATAAAATATGATACATACTACATACAAGATGCATACAAGGTGAGTTGTCCTGTATATACATATTTGTTGTTTTATATGTATATTGCATATATGTGTGTATAAAATTTTAAAATGCTATGGTAAGAACTAGTGAAAGAGAGGAAGAAAAGCGGTCTCCTGCCAACTTTTTCTACCAAAGCATTTATGTGCTTTTCCTTTTACATCCATCCCTCAGTCATTGGGCACCTACCACACGCCAAACTGCTGATCACATAAGAGACATAAAGAAATAAAATATAATTTCTCTCCTTAGAGCGTACTGTCTAGTGGATGGACCTGGTATTTTATGTAGTAACAGAATGAAGCACATACGAATGAAAGGTAGGCTCTGTGCTGAGATGTTCAGGAGAGAAGGACACTCTTCTCAATTAGAAGGGTCCTTACAAGGTTTCACCATGGAGTGACATGAGAACTGCTCACTTAAGGAAAAGTGGGATGCAGTCTCCCAGGAATAAGTCTGAGAAAGGCCTTCTAAACAGACAGGAAAGGAAAAGCACAAAGGTGCTTCCGCAAACATCAAGGTTATGTCAGGCTGGGGATGTCCTCCAGGGCAGTGACCCTATGTGTCTTACTATCATTTTTCATGTGTCAAACTCATGATTAATAAAATTAAATCAATCAAACAAAACAGTAAATGAATGAACAGTGTTTGGAGAGTGTTAACAGTTTACTAGGTCGAGAAAATAAGACGTGTGGAGATAAATGATAGAAATCATAACAAATCACTAGCGAATAGAATGCATTGCTATGGAATTTGTGCCTCATCTTAAAGGCAACAGAGAGCTATTGAAAGTTTTTTAAGAGAACTGTGATAGAATTTAATCTATACAGTCAAGTACTATTGTAGTTTTTAATGAAAGTAATTGGGTTAAATGTGGTACAACAGAGTAGTAATCAGATTCATTCATTACATAAAAGTTAAATAATATTAAACTAAATTTCAATACATTAAAATTATATGGGGATGACACTCTCTTACTACAACTTTCTTAAATGGATATAAATAGCACGTGAGACAAAGCTCCAAGAGACCAAGTTCACAGGTGTTACACTTACTCTCACCAAGTTTATACCTCTTTACAAATGTTATTGAAAAGTTATCTGTTTCCACAAGTAGAAAAACACATATAAATATCCACAAACTCTCCCACGGCTATACATAACACACAGCAAGGGACAAGTAGTGTAAGACCTGGATTTGGTGTTGCTATTACCATTAACTTGGTCTAAGATCCTGGGTTTTTCCTCCCCTTGCTAGGCTCCAGTTCCCTAATCTATAAAAGGAGGGAGGAAATGGTGCCCTCCATGGTCTGGTTTAGCACTGATAATCTGTGATTCCAACGAGGTCTCTGGAATGGCCTCTGTTAGTCTCCATCCTTAGCACAGCAGGGGGCTAGGGAGTGATGAGCCTCATAGTATTATCAGAGGGAAAAATATCACATCCTTTTCTTTACTCATCTAAAATTGAACAAATACAGGTATAAAGTGAAAACTGAGGCAGGAAGCTACAAGGGAACACTGCATTATGTTTAATGCTACTTTTGAAAATATATTAGGCTTCAAATTTGGAAATCTGTGTAGCTCTTCAAACAGATGTTATATTTTACCCTAGAGATGACCCCATTTTAGATGATGGCAATCCACTATGTATAATAATATTCTTCATCAACTTCCTAAATTACTTGAGAGTTGTAGGAGATAAAAAGTGTAATACAAAAGAAAGATGGTGACACCCCAGTAACTATATTAAGAGCTAGAGAGACTGTGAGCACATTTACTTTTATCCTTAGCTATGTTTGAAAGAGAGACACTTACATAAGTAGTATCAGGATTTAAAAGAACCAACTGTCTCAAGAGTAGAAGAGTGTTTGACTTGTAATCAGAATCCTGATTTTAAATTTTAATTATTTAAGTAAATAACTGTAGAAATGTAGGTTAATTACTAATTTACTGTCTCTCAGTTTGGTAGTCATCTTTGAAATAGAAATAGAAATAAAAATACTTACTGATATGATTATTTTGAGCTACACAAAAATACATTATAGTAATTACTTGGCACGGTTTATGGCACATAGTATGTGATGAATAAATGCTAGCTTTTTTTCCTGGGACTTTTCAATAACATTTGTAGAGCACTATAAGAGTAGAAGAGTGTAGGCTGGGTGTGGTGGCTCACACCTGTAATCCCAGAACTTTGGGAGGCCGAGGCAGGTGGATCATGAGGTCAGGAGTCTGAGACCAGCCTGACCAACATGGTGAAACCTGGTCTCTACTAAAAATACAAAAATTAGCCAGACGTGGTGGCGAGCGCCTGTAATCCCAGCTACTCAGGAGGCTGAGGCAAGAGAATCGCTTGAACCCGGGAGGTGGAGGTTGCAGTGAGCTGAGATTGCCACTGCACTTCAGCCTGGGTGACAGAACAAGACTCCGTCTCAGAAAAAAAAAAAAAAAAAAGAGTAGAAGAAGAAGAGTGTAAGTTGTTTAACACTTTCTCATGATGTATGTAGTAGTGCCAAACATACTCTAGGTTCTCAGTGAACCTAAAACACAGATAAATTTTCAAATTAGCATGAACATTTCAATTTGTAATTTGCATTATCTGGATAGGACAATCTGATGTTAATTCTAATCAATATGGTAGGCATTTACTTCGTTTGGTAAATAAATACAAATAGCGGTAGAGTGGTTTTTACACCATTTCATTTACTGTCCAGCAGTATGTTTCTGGGAAGATGTGTAAAGAGAAAAATTTTTCAAAAGGAGATACTGAGAGGCTCTTGAAGTGCATTCCCTGGTACCGTTCTGACAGAGCATCAATGTCACTAAGACTTGGCAGCAGGGAGCAGGACTCGTCTGTGTGACTTCCAAGAAACACAGAGAGAGCCACTTACTGCAGCCACCAGCAGAGAAGTAGGTATGGAGGACACAGCCTCTTCTCATGCCTGCCGGCATCTGAAACAATATCCTCTTGATTTTGTGTTTGCTTAGATCAGAGTGCAGACTCAAGGCACTCAGGTAACCTGCCACTGAGAATGTCTTAGAACTTCAACTGTGCTTTGCCAACCAAAACCAAAGGATGTTAATATTGTGTAGCAAGTTGCGTCAGGTAGAAAATGCTTTTCTTATTCAAGCCCTTCAAGATCTTTCTCAATTGCAACTTTCTTGTGGTCTCCTAACAGGATTCCCCTCCGCCACCCAAGTCTGAATGTCAAAAGCACTTTCTGGTTTTGCCATAGGTAAAGCAGCTTCCTACCTTGCATTACATTGATTCGTGTCTATCTCCTCTACTTGGCCATGATTTCCTAGAAGGCAGGGAATCTAACTTCCTCCTTCTAGAAACATTCAGTTTAATTAAAGGTGTGTTAGAGGGAAGAGTCAGGAGAGGAAGAAGGGAAGGGGGAAACAGTTCACATGTATGAAAATAAGAGAAATAAATTACTATGTCTGAAAGCAGCCACTCTAATAATGATGTTGATTTTTATACTCCTGGCTTGTCAAACAGATAATTCAGAGAAGTTTCCATTTGAAAAATTAAATAGAGTATCTGGATCCTAAAAAAGAAAAAAGAAAAAACACTGCTTGGGATGTTATTAATATACAAATGATCTAAAATTTGACAGTGACTCTTCTCTTGGATTCTCACAATTGGGCGATGCTTCAGAAGATGGTAGAAGGAAGTCCAAATTTGGGCATAATCCCATACTTCTCCAGACTGGTGACAATGTCAGATTTTGAAACAGTAAAATATGAGAGAAAAAAACTATATATTTTACAAACTAATAGAAAGAAGGAGGGATTTTATGAATCAATTATTCCAGCACCTTAACTTTAGATGAAGCATATGAGGTTGTTCCTTCAAGTATTTCATATGCTTTGAAAGCTCCGTGAGTCTGCACATGGTAATCCTTCTGTCTAGAATTACTTCTCCTGTGTTTGACCCAACTCCATTGCCGTCTTTTCCTTGAAACCTTCTCTCATTCCTCCAGTCAGTTTATTCATCCTTCTTAAAGACCCATGGATCACTTTTATGTACTTTTATTTATACACTGATATATGTTGGCTTTCTCAATTAGATCATGAATTTATTTTGGGCAAAAACTATGTTTACCCTACTCACCCCAAACACGTAGCACAATGCCTCAAAAAAAAAAAAAAAAAAGAGTACTTCACAAATTAATATTGAGTTGAAATACGTAAGTTCACTGGAAGAGATGAGGGAAGAGGACAGCATCAACTTACCTCTTCATGAAGCTTAAGACGTCTGCCCTTATTTATAACAGCCATCACAGATTAATAATTTTAAACTGTAAAGCACACTGGCACCACTTAAAGACTGGCTTGTGAAGGATCACTCAAAGAGCAAGCTGTATTTTGATGGAATGGAAGGAGGAGCTTGTCCTCTATACTACAGTATTTTGGAAAAAGAAGTGGACTGAGAAAAATGCAGTCCTTTCTTTCTTTTCCTAACACTCC